AATGTACGTAAAGTGAAAAAATTGATATCAGTGCAAGTCTATTAACAAGTTAAAAATATCATCGCTGTGAATGGCTCTTAAATATATAGCATTCTACCAATGATTGCATCCAAGCAGTGATTTTGTTCTACTTGACCAGATGGCTGAAAAACGTATCACAATAAAAGGTTTTTAAATCAGTCTATTGAAAATTAATTATCTTTTGTTTTAAATATCTGAAATGCAGCTAAACTGGTGCTGTGACCTTTCTCCTTTCATCCAGTTTCCTCTCAAGCTGCTGTTCAGGTTTCTCCTTTCACTCCACTATGCTCTTTTTTTTTTTAACCAATCAGGAGGCACAGTGGAAAAACCTGAAACTGCTGCTGTGCATGTTGCTCCACAGGTTGTTGCTAGGTAACCAAAGTGTGAGCGAGTTAGTTGATGCCACCAATCTTGCTCAGCTATTCATGACGGATAAAACGGCTAAAGTTTTTCCTCTATTATCCCCTAGAACGCTGTGCGGTTCTGGGTTGAAGTTCAGTAAAATTATTCAACATGTGTGTCACATCATCTATTGAAACTAATCACATATCCACTGTGATACATTATCGATTTATTGTCCAGCCCTACTTGAGTGCATGAAATGTTTGAGATTGAAGCAGTTGGAACATGTCGTAGGTCCTGTCTGACTACCTATAAACTTTGAAAATTAATCGGTTTTTAACTTAAATAAGCTGATAAGTTCTCTACTGCAGGTTCTAATAACTTCTTCACGTAACTCCTCTTTAATTGGTCAGAACCAACAATTCAAGTTTGCATTGCAGAACAAGTTAGGATTCTAGTCGTGACTAAATAAACTAACAGATTTCAACAAAAACTGTTCTTCCTTTAGCAGTGAGAACAGGGTTGGAATATAAACTGTTCTTACTGCCAAAAATGATGCTAACTCAGATACATGTTTTTTTTCTCCATTGCTTGGAGATAATTTTCTTGTTATTTTATAAGATGTGAGATGTTTTTATAAATCCCTAATTTTACTAGTCTTCTAAACTTCATGCCATTGAGTCAGTTGACAACACCTACTATAATCAATGCCATACTGGTCACTGACTGTGATTTAATAAGTAGAATTATCTACACTTTTTGTGGCAGTATGTGGGGACAGAGCAGCAGTACATGAAGTACAAATTTTTGACGCTTCAAATTGTTGTCTAATGCTGGTTCTCAAGGGCAACATTTTCAATATTTCCCTGGTTCCTCACAATTGAATGAGATGAGTGGTTTGCTACCAGGTCTTGCTGGGCCTTTTAATACTCACTTACTGTTGTCCCATGGATCTCATATATCATCTCAGACACAGTCATGCCATAAAACATCTGTCCCAATAATTCTATGATTATTTCAGGAATGGTGAAGCACATCACTGGAGGATACAAGGTGACTTATCATCCTGATGGTCCAGAGGGCCAGGCCTATGAGGTTGACTTCACTCCTCCATTTAAGAGAGTGAGCATGACACACGATCTGGAGAAGATCATGGGAGTTAAATTCCCACCAACAGACAGCTATGACTCCGACGGTATGGAGATGTACAAAAAGCTGCCTCAGAAGAATATCATCCAAAGCTGTTTTATCATTTAGTTGACTCAGTTTCTGATAAAGAATCATCTTTTTATTTTTCAGAGACCCTCAAATTCTTCGACGATCTGTGTGCCCAAAAAGGTGTTGAGTGTCCTCCACCCAGGACCACTGCCCGCCTCCTTGACAAGGTGCGCTGTGATTAAACTTTATTAGATCCTTCTGGTTGTTACTCATTATGTTACTAATGTTTTGTTCCTTGTTCTGCAGTTGGTTGGAGATTTTCTCGAGGTCACATGCATCAGTCCGACTTTCATCTGTGATCACCCTCAAATCATGAGCCCCTTGGCAAAATGGTAAGAAGCGTCAAGCTATTTTACTATTGAATTGCAGTGCTGAGGCTCTCACTGTGACACTTTCCTCCGTTTCAGGCACAGATCAGAAAAAGGTCTAACTGAGCGTTTTGAGCTTTTTGTCATGAAAAAGGAAATTTGCAACGCCTACACAGAGTTGAACGACCCAATCAGACAGAGGGAGCTGTTTGAGCAGCAAGCCAAGGTCTCTGTGGACTGTCTGTTCTGTTTTAAGTTATACATTAGCACATTGTCTTGCTATAGAATGATTTCCATACTGACGCTGTAACATGACTCTTTTCAGGCAAAAGCTGAGGGTGACGATGAAGCCATGTTCATTGATGAGACCTTCTGCACAGCACTGGAATACGGTCTGCCTCCGACTGCTGGCTGGGGGATGGGCATCGACCGTCTCACCATGTTCCTCACCGACTCAAACAACATCAAGGTAGCTTTGCTCTGAAAATTTAATACAATCATAATCCAGATTTAGTCAACTGAAAATCCGCACCACAATTTGAAACCACTTTTGATGTATTGAGATGGACAAAAAATATAGTACCCTGCTAACAACACAAGTAGAATACTGATGATGGAGACTTTCTGTAGTCATTAAATCACAGTATTGTTGAAAGTGTGTAGTTTGTGTGAATTTTATTACAGTTACAAAGCATTATTGAATCACAAACCTTAAAACAGTGGAACGGAATAAAAATAAGAGGAAAAAATGATCAGAAACTGAAGTCAAACTTTGCAAGAAATGTGCAGAGAAGTGAGACAAAAACACAAACCATCAGGTTATGTTGGTTTAAGAAGTACTGTGTATAATTAAAACAATATTTTCATACAAAACTCTTGAGATTAATTAATAAAACATGCAAAATTCTTTGCTAAACACATCTACAAATTATAATTTGTATTAGATGGGGTTGTGTACCAGAGGCCTACAGTAGGAAGTGGGTTATGGATGATCTTTTATCTGATCTTTTTATTTTTTTCTTCCCCATACACCGTTTATTTATTCCAATACATTTAAAACAAAGACCTTAGGTGTATTTCTTTTTGTTTTGTAAGAACTTAACTAGATGTTTTGGTTGAAATTATTCTAAAAGAGAAAATTACTGAGATATTGAATTTTTTTATTATTAGTAATACAGTATTATTATTTTTTAGTTTCAGGTGGTTTAAATAGTTTGTTGCTATTATGTTAGCATAAATAATTTTCTAGGCTGTGGTTTCACTCAGAGATGACACCCAAGCATCATCAGGGGAAATGTGTTCTAGTTCATGTACAATCTAAATATAATATTTAACCTTTTACAGGAGGTGTTGCTGTTCCCAGCCATGAAGCCTGATGACAATAAGAAGTCTGCTCCCTCTGAGGAAACTTCTTCCTAAGGTCATGACCTCTGATCCCTCCGGCTGCTTCATCTCTGCAGGAGTCCATATGAAGTATTGGTCTTTACCTAACGTTGGACACCAGCAGAGTCTGCAAATTTTGTTTTACTTGTGTTGGTTTGTTTAACATTGGCGCTTATTGGTCAGGGTATTGGTATTGTTTATTGTTTTATTTTATTTCGTCTGCTCCTCACACCGGTTGAATCTTCAGTGCTTGAAAGAAGGTTTTAACTCTTTGCTATCTAAACCGTAAATATTTGAAATTCAATCAGGAAATGATCAGGAAGTCATTAGATCTGCTGTCACGTCCAAATCTGGTGTTACTTTTATGCATATTCTGAGTTTCTGAGAAAATCTTTAATTCTGAATACCAATATACCAAGAATAATATGGATTCACATCTGAACAACAACTCAAATCCTGATGTTTGAAGTGTCCTCTGTATATTCATGTTATTTTTAACTGATCTACTTGTATTCTTTGTCTAAGATTTTTCATGTTGGCTTCCTTAAATTTAATAACTATCTGCCAAGAAAGTGAAATTCTGGGTTTGAATAAAGTACAATTGAATCAGCTTTGTTTTGTTCTCTTCATACGACGTCTGAGATTTTTAGTTTTGACAAATGTATAAATGACTTGAACTTTTGTGGAATCAATCTGCTCTGTATTCATATCAATGGAAATGACCTGGGTAAGCCAATCAAAAACTAACAGAAACATTGAGTGATATCATTTTTAATATTTGATATGAAAAGATGTCCGAGAAGGACATACAGGTGTGACCAAAAAAAAAAACTTTTTCACAACCGTCATGTTTTTAGTCTATATTTAGGCCTATCTCCATCCATTGATTGATTGTATTCAAATTATTTGAGGACAAGAATGTGTCCAAAATAAAGGATGAGAAGTTCTGCATGTCGCCAAAGTGGAAGAACTTCAAGAAACCTTCCAAAAATGTTAAATGCTCATCCTCTAATTATGACTTTGGGGCTGATGTAATCCAGAGTTTTCTTTGCAGGGACTTGGTCGTCACTTTGGAATCTAATTATGAGCATCTCTGGCCTATTTAAGAATGAGGAATTTAAAAATGCCTGAGTTGTTAAAAGCACCTCATAAAGCATAAATATTATAGAATTATACAATTTATCTACATTATCCACTGATAATTACAACTGACTTCCAACCATCAGTTGTTTTTCTTAACCACACCAAACATTTCGTTTCAAAGTTCTGCTGTAACATGTAAAACTTGCTGTCTAAATTGATTGTGATGGTGCAAACAATCCAAATCTTTTATAACACAGAAAAATGTGCAGTAGGTATCGGCAGGCTGTGGGTGGAAAGTTTTCTTGGTCTTCAGTGAGTTTATGGAAGGACACTTCTCCAGAAATCTCATTTATCATTATCTAGAACATAAATGTTATTACAGCATCAATTGTATGATTTTTTTAAATTGAAATAATAGTGATAATCACTGGAAGACATTTTTTTTTTTAAATTAATATTAATTTACCTTTGGGTCCCAACCTTCTCCCCCTCCTCTACTGCTCCACCATCATTGTCCACGCAGAAGCTCGCCACAGTGGGATAGTGCGCGCTCTCGTGGCTCAGTGTGTTTGTGCATCTCTGTGTGTGTGTGTGTGTTTGTTCGGGTGTGTGTGTGTGTGGGGGGTGTGTTCTGGGTTACACGGTGCCTGCCTGCCTGCCTGCTGCAGAGTGAGTGAAGATGGCGATGAGAGCAGCGCTGCGGTGCCTCTCTGTAAACTTTTCTCCTAGGCTGCCGCAACTTTCGTCCGCTGCGCAAGTTTCAGCGACTCGGCTGCTGTGCAGGAGCGGCGCCCCGCGGACTCTGAGCACAACCCCGGGCCAGTGCACAGGTAAAAAAACCCCCAAACAAACCAACAAACCCAAAAGGAAGAAAACAAAGAGAGGGAACCCGGGGATGAACTCCACTCACCATGTGGACAGATTTCTTCTTCTAATAACCAGCTGCCAAAAATGAATAAATAACGATGTAGGTTGTGAAATGGAGGACTAAAAGACAAGAAGGACAGCTAGACGTGCTGTTTAACTTGAAAAATCCTGTAAATGTGACCACATGCTGCGTGCTTTATCTTATTCACCACAAGCATTTGGGGTGCACCAGTAAGCAGCCTGTGCAAGCAAATGTCACCCATTTTGCTGCAGTTGTGCAAATATCGACAGAATGATGAGCCACCCGGCAGCTGCCATGTTTTACAAGTTTCAAGATCAGAAAAAGCATTTGGAGCATTTAGTTGTTTGTATGACTCTAGTCATTCACTGGCATCTCGCATCGTCACAAATCTGGTACAAAACTGATTTTTCTGCGTTTTTTGGCGCCAGCTCTGATTATTGCTCAGGCTTTAGACTACAGTTATTTCCTCGGGGTGACAGCGTGAGCCTGGAAGCACAATGCTCCAACTCAGCACTGGGCACGACTGTGAACACAAGTTATTCTTGCTTTTGTGAACCCTTTTCCTGACAGCATAACTGCATTCACCTGCTGAAACGCACAGTACGCTGATATTTTATTTTTCTGCACATGGTCTTGCATAACTGAGAGCCATTCGGCTGTGGTCCATGGTGCACATTTTTATTCTTTGCCAACACAGGGGTTTTTTGTTTTGTGTTTTTTCTTGCATGACTAACTGGCTTTGTGAATCACAGTCCATACCACCTTTTTTAGTGCAATTATTTTTCTCCCTGTAGCCCTCAAGTTCACTGAGAAGCATGAGTGGGTGCTGGTGGAGAGTGGAATAGGCACCGTGGGAATCAGTAACTATGCTCAGGTCTGCTTTTTAATTAGCCATTCTTCTAATCTTTGATTTATGGCACTCTTTGCTCTGACCTTTCCTGATGTCGGTCTAAAACCTGTCCAGAGCTGCACTTTGCTCTCAGCAAATCCACTGTATCAGGGTAATTCATTGCTTTATGATTATTCTTTGATAACCACCAAGCGGGGGAGGGAGGCAGATCATTTTAAGTTCAGATGCTTGATGAACTGTAGATATCCAAGCGGTAAATAAAAGCGGAATTTTATTATTCTAAACCTGAATGAAGCAGTTGAGGTGTGATTGTTTTTCATGGTAAGTATTTCCTGTGCTAATAAGCCCACAGCTTCTGAGATAAAGCATAAGACGATTTAAGCATTTGGAGCATTTAGTAAATATTAAGCAAGGTTTTTAGAATTCAGAATTACATGCAACTTATAAAATTAAGCAGGAAAAAGCCTTTTAAACTAGTTTACAGAAAAACAGAAACCCTTTTATGATGTTTATTGTTCAGATACCTTGTAGTGTTTGTTTATCTTCAGTCACATTGATTATTGCAACAGCGTCTTCACACGTCTGTCCAACAAATCAAACAGCTGCAGCTGATCCAAAATGCTGCTGCTCGCGTTCTCACTAAAACCAGGAAGATAGAGACATAACACCAGTTTTAAAGTCCCTCCACTGGCTCCCTGTAGCTCAAAGAATAGATTTTAAAATACTGTTGTTAGTTTACAAATCACTGAACGGTTTGGCACCACAATACATTAAAGATCTGCTGTTGTTGTATCGACCTTCCAGACCGCTCAGGTCTTCTGGTTCTGGTCTGCTCTGCATCCCCAGAACCAGAACCAAACGAGGAGAAGCAGCTTTCAGCTTCTATGCACCACAAATTTGGAACAAACTTCCAGAAAACTGTAAAACAGCGGAAACACTGAGTGCCTTTACATCTCGACTAAAAACTCACCTGTTTAGAGTTGCTTTGGAAACATAATCAATTAGGAATTTAATGATGGAACTTGACTTAATGTCATGTTTTGATTGTTGATTCTACGTTGCATGACTTTGTGTTTATGACGACAGTTTGAAATGCCTTGCTGCTGAAATCTGCTATACAAATAAAATTGGATTGATTGATTAATTGATAGTTATTGACTTAAAAGAGTTGTCTATAAGCTCTCCAGAGACAGTTGGTGCTGCCGAACAGACAACATCTAAAACTTGCGCACAAACAGCTTGTTTCAACATGTTCTAACACCAACTACTTGGCATGGCATTTGTGTGTTGTTCCCAATTGTGCAGTTTGGGAGCAACACCCAAATATGAGGTCATTTATAATCAGAACAAATCCTCTAAACAGGGGATGTTGTTGTAAATCACTGTGTTCGTGTTAATATTTCATATGCACTGTGTTTTTGTGGTAAATATATAACTATTATTATTTGATGACTTTAGGAAGCTTTAGGTGATGTGGTTTACTGTGGACTGCCTGAGGTTGGCCAAAAACTTGAACAGCTGGGTAAGATCAGGGAATATACTACATCGTAGAAAGTGTTTATAGCTGTGCAATAAATGTAATCTTTTGTGTTGTGTGTAATTCTGCTGCAGATGAGTTTGGTGCCTTGGAAAGTGTAAAGGCTGCCAGTGAGCTGTACTCACCATTGACAGGGGAAGTGACAGCAATCAACACGGAGCTGGCCGAAAATCCAGGACTCGTGAATAAATCCTGCTACGCAGATGGTAAGTCTCAAGGTTGAATTTTGTTGTTATTCCTGTAAACTGGTCACACAGCATTTTGTCACCAGTGCAGTTGAAAAGCTGCCAAAAGAGAACTATTTCCAAGCCTTACTTTCACATGTTCCTTTTTATTTTTCAGGATGGCTGATCAAGATGACCATTGAAAGGCCTGAAGAACTCGATAAGCTCATGGACCAACCTGCTTATGATAAATTTATTAAGTCGCTGGAAGAATAAGACAACAAATTTATCGTGATTATTTGTTATGTAGCTGCAGTCAAATATTAGCAGACTGGGTTACTAACATTGGCAGTGACCTACAACATCCTTTGTGGTATTTATTTATGTTATGAACACTTTAAAGTGTGCTGCAAAATCTTAAATACCCAGTAACATTTTTCATGTAGAAAGTGGGAATTTCTTTTTCAACTCGCCAGTGAATCTAAAGGGCTTTTACGCTTATTGGATCTTCTTCCTAGTACTTTGCTCTGATTTTAAATAGTGCATAGATGTATTGAAACGCTGGGAAATTCAGTTTTTAATTCATTTATTAAAACACTGAGAAGTCTTTAAGTTTGATTGAATCTGCCTGGAATCTGTTGCATTGTATGTTTCACGAAGGCACAGTATATCTTCACGATATGTCGCACATGCTCACATGCTGTTGCGGCTGTACAAATGGTGACAGGTCATACCGTCTGCTTGTCCTGATTTTAGTTCCGCACACCTTGACCTTTCCCCTTGGTTGAAGATAGGCTGAGATTGCTGAAGCTAGTTGATCAATAATTAATCCAACTGCGATTTTAAACCCATTAACAAAAGTTGCAGTTATTGCTATAAGTTAATGATTTTCATTACTGTCTTCAAAAAAACAGTTCAAATGTTTCAAATATAGATATTATGCTAAAAACAAACTTTATACTTCCATGATTTTAGTTTATTCACATTCTGTAAACTGGATTGCACTGAATTTGTTAAAGCAAAGAGTCTGTAAAATCCTGTTAAAAATGCACAACACTCCCACCACAGTTATTGACATCACTGTTTACTATGAAAAAAGTCTTTACTATATACGTTACTTCTTTATGAACTAACCTAATGCTGAAACGTTTTAAAAAAGTGAAACCCTTATTTTGAGTAGTTATATTCAGAGGGAGAAAAGTATTGTCTTAAGAGGTTGTTGATTTTTAACAAAAAAAGACCTTGACAATTTATACTATGACACGTTGATCAGGTATTTTCAACGCAAACTGTTTAAACTGATCAGAGAGTGCTGTACACTAACAGAGAGATGGTTATATCTCCTCTTGAAAATGGGAAAGACAAGAAAACATTCAAGAAAGGCAGATGATTAGTGAATCTTTTCAAGCAGGAAACTGCAACATGTATCTTCTGAGGTTTCCCATATCTACAATCAGATCAAAAATAAAGAATTAGAAAAAAACAAACTACAACAAGAAGAAGGTTTAATGAACACCGGGTGAAGAATAATGAGAGGAAAGAAAATGTGCAAACCTCAGTAAGAGCACTGCAGCAAGGCGTGACATGCTGGAGTCTCAAAATTGCCACCATGCTAGTTAGTGTTTGGTGAGACAGGGCAGGAAAATAGCCTTCCCTGTCCAACACCTCAAATGTAAATGTGAAGTTTGCTAAATGGTACTGAGAATTTAACTGGAACCGAATGCTTTGGTCTAATGAGATGAAAACTAACATTCTCAATTTCACCACAAACATTTTGAGCTTGAAAAAACGTCACGGCTGCTGGAGGAACTATAAGGCTATGTGAGCCTGTTAATCCTTCAAGGGGGCTGGTAATCTCGTGAGAGTTCACAGGATTATAAGGTCCTTAAAGTCAGAATATTTAACATTCAAATTTGGTGGATCCAACCATGAGGCTGAAAATGGCTTCACAACGAGTCTTTCGGCAGAAGGAATGACCCAAACAAACTGAAATGATTCATGGCAAAACCTATTTTTTTCCATTGTGAATTCATTCCTAGAAGCTAAATCCGACAAGAAAGATTGTGGGGTTGGTGCAAAAGAAAGGGCCTAAAAGTATGCTGAAGAGCACTCCTGGGTAACTCAGGTAAATGTAGAGGAAGACCAACTTACAATAATGAGACAAATACTGGTACACATTATTTTATGTAAAGAAATTTAATATAATTAAAAAATTCCCAATTTTGGATTTTTTTTATAGGCCGCAAATTCCTCAATAATTTATTTGAAGGTTTGCTGCACATTTTTAGCAAGATGCTGACAAGTCTGATGGATACAATACAGTCTAGTGTCCACATGATACTCTATATCATTCATGATAGAGAGTATTTTTTTATGTCATCACCTTCTTGAAATAATAGCCTGTGTCATTGTCAAAAGTGATTTTGGAAACAAAAGAAAAGTGATAATAATAACCCAAAAAAATCTGCCCCATTTTATTGCCAACAGATGATTTAGGTGAATAAAAAGAAATTTTGGTAAAAAAAAGTGTTAGTCCATTATTTTAGAAAATGATGATTTGCAACATTTAGCCAAAAGAAAATAAAAATAATTAAAGGATATACTGTCACTCACAGAGTGTATCAATATTTTTTGAGAAGTTTCAGGGTTAAACAACCGGAAGATGAGATTGAGAAATTGTCTTATTGTGACACCTGCTGCTAGTCAAAGGCTTTTCAGTGAAACAAACATGTTTATTTTTTATTGTTTCTCCTGCACTGTGAGGATTTTTTTTTCCATAGAATTCCAATATTCAAACATTTGTTCCATTCTAATAAAGACAGCATTGGTTTGTTAGCCACAGTGGGATCTGTATAGCAACAAAGTTTCATATATGTGTTTAGAAAAAACTAAGAAAATGAATATTTAAATATAGAGACAGGTCATTAATTTGGTTTGTCAAAAGCAACATAGAAAGCATACGAAATTTCAAAAATATATAACAACAGCTTTCACATTATTTGCAGTTATTTAGTACATAATGTTTTGAAACAGCTTACTGGAGATAAGCTAAAACATTGTCCTCGCAAAAGACTGGTCATGATTACATAATTTCAGTATTATTTGTTATTTTACCATAGTCTTTTTGAAGAATAATGCTTTCATAACTATAAATATGGATAGGAAGGACGTCTATATTATAGGGTCCCCGAGAGGGCTCAGTACTATACAAGTAAGGAAGGAAGAAACAAAAACTTCTGTTTTTCGGTTTATCTTGTTTCATCACTGAAATCGTGTGTTGATATAAATAGGAATGCTGTTCTTAATTTTAGAATATAAAAAACGTTAGTATTTTACACCTTACATTGTTTGTAAAGTTGTTTAATTGTACATGGGGTGAACTCTCTTGAATGCATTTGCTCTTTGATCAATCATCTGCTCTGCCATTGGCTGGTCTTTCCATATCCCACAATGCGCCGCCTTTCAACTTCCTTTTTCCTTTCGGCCATTTTCCTCCCTCATAGGTATGAGAAATTATCCTGTCCATATTTTCGAACAATCTGCCATAATCCTGCATATTCAAATTGAATCGGTAATATTCCGTTACAGAATAAAATAGTGCGGATTTTCACCTTTATAACAATATGACTATTATGATAATTTTTCCCGCTGAATTGGTTAAAACAACATGTTTAGCGAAGCTACTTTGTCAAGCGGTAGCTGTTAGCATTGCCCTTATAATTCAGCCTTTAATTCGTATATGTCAGACGGTAACGCTCTGAATAAACATTATATAGACTTAATGCGTTAAAAAAGTGATTAAGACAAGTTACTGTGTGGTCACGGAGGACTGTATAGGAATGAGGAACTGCTTCAGTAGTTCAGTTTTACGTGCTAGCCTGTAGCACTTAGCCTCGTATATCGGCGTGCCGGCATTACTGTGCGCTCATCTCTTGTTTTCCACGTTGTGTTGAAGGGAACTAGCCAACCATGGCCCCCAGCCGGAATGGAATGATCTTGAACCCCCATTTCCACAAAGACTGGCAGAAAAGAGTGCGTACCTGGTTCAACCAACCTGCCAGGAAGGTCCGCAGGTGAGAGCAGTGACATGAACGCATGCTAATCAAAAGCATCCACTGATTTGTGAACGAGTCGCAAAAACACAATCATTACGGTTCAGTAGAATGTGACCTAAAATGTAATGCTCGTGTAAGTTTAATTTGTCTGAGGTCGGAATCTTGCTTGGTTGTAACATCTTTGTTGAGAGAACTGCAGCTTTTGCCTTACATTTTTCAAAATGAAGATATTTTATCAGCTTTTTTTAGTAGAAAAATCAGAATATTTGCATGCATGGTGCTGCTGTTCTCACATTAGTTGTTTCATTTTTCCTGAGAATATTAAGACAGATTATCATGTTTTGTCTTACTCACATAATGGAGATGAGGAAAGACCCGAAACATTTTATGAATATCTTAAAAAGTAACTCAGATCTGATTATGTTAAGTGTTAAATATTGTAAGCTTTTGTATTATCAATCAAAGCTTGTACAACAGCAATATTTTATGATTGCATCATGGTTAGGAGCTATGCCCTGCTCTGTGTCTCCACAGCAAGGGATCGCTTTATTTGTCAAAGATAAGAAAAATGTTTTTCTCCCCAGGCGAAAGGCTCGCCAGGCCAAAGCCCGCCGCATTGCTCCTCGTCCTGTTGCTGGACCACTGAGACCACAGGTTAGATGCCCAACTATTAGGTACCACACCAAGGTTCGTGCCGGACGTGGGTTCACCCTGGAGGAACTCAAGGTAATGCATGAAATGTACTCATGGCTGCCATCTTAATGCTGCTGTTGTACTTTTTCAAGAGCATTGTCACTGATTTCTCTTTGTTTTGCATGCCTATAATTTTTTTTTTGTTGTTTTTTTTTTTGTGGAGAAATCCAATATAAGTACTAAATAATTTGGCACCCAACTGATATGGACCAAACTTTGCTTTGGAGTCATGAAACCCAAATGTAATACCTGAGGTTTATGTTTGTATGTGATGAAGTGGAAGGGGAAGGAAATTAGCTGATCTCGAATTTTTTTTTGCAATATTTATCTTTGGAAAGTTTTTCAGTGTAGAGAAATTTTAGGTCTTGAACATTAGTGCAATAAGTGTTGCCAACCATTATAAGCTGAAAATGTTCCCAGTCTTTGGTTGTTCATTTTGAACTGTAATCGTCCTGAAGCAGAGAGTTTCTCATGACTGAGTCAAAATGCAGCTTGCATCTGAAAGTAAACCTTAGAGAAAACAAATCTATGACTGTTTGAACAAAGGTGTTTAAGCAGTTGCTTGTTTGAATAAATTGTGTAGAAAGGTGAAAATAAAAGCGTTCAGGTTTAAATCAGCACTTCATACCCTTTATAATAATAGATGTTTTATGTAACGGAACAATCCATTTATCGTAGATATATGAACAACCCAAATTGTCAGTAGTTATGGTGATCAGTATGAAATGTGTTCACATGCTGAGGCAGGATGTCCTGAAACATAAGTTTGCCTTCATATCCAGACTATTGTTTCTGTAGATGGAGAAACAACAGACCCAAGCTCTCACAGTGAATCATTACTAATTGATGCTGGAATAAGAGAAG